TAAATAAATAAATAAATAAATAAATTCTACAAACTACAATTATAGTTTATTTTTTGTGATAATGTTTAATTTTCAATATAAACTTTTCTTCCTGGAACTATAAAGCAAATTGTGGCAGAATCTGTTCATTTCTTTGAAATTCCAAAACCAGTAAAGAACAGCTAAATGGCTAGATTTCTCTTTGAAGATAATAGCTGAAGTGGAACAGTAAATGTGATTTAAACATTTAGTAAATTGTGCAACTGTTAGTTTTGCTTCGCCCTAACAATTTAGTAATTATATCCTTGTGGCCCTGTGGTATATGCTTCACTGTAAATAATAGAATTTCTGTTTGGTGGGAATGAGAGTTTATGATTATTTTAAAACTATTCCATAAAATACTATATTCATTTGGGGTTTTTTGGATATTAAGTGTTCTGCTTGATTCAGTATATTTTTACTTAGAATATATCCTACTTTCTTTAGACCTTTCTGGTAAAAGTAGCTGTCTTGACTCATGGCATTGATACAGTTCACTACACTGCTTCAGTCAGATATTCTTTTCACATTTTTCAGTGAAATGTGCTGAATGGATGTTGCTTATTTTTCTTCAAATTCTGTTTTATAAAAATACCAAGATTATGAAATAAACATGAAATGGAATAAGAGAATATTTCTTCAAGTTGAAAACAAAGTGAAAAAACTGAAAAACTGGCACTGTATTTGCTTGATAAGTTGGATTTTTTGTATAGATTCAAAGATTGATCTATTCATTTACACAATGCTTTTAACCTAAAAAGGAAAAGGCTGGCTCTTTTTCTCCTACTAGGCATGTGTTATGCTTTGGATTCAAAGCTGAAAGGGTGCATTGCAAATGGGTTTACAGAGCATATATTTGACTTGACTGACTGTGTGCCTGTACCCTTTCCAGAGTTTCTTTTTGGCTTCAGAACTGAAGTTTCATTTGTAGAAATAGCTGCTATTGTAAAAAAGTAATATTTTGTTTTTCCAAATCATTAGGTAGGTGATGATAAAACAGTGAAGCACTGGAAAATGGAGGAGCCAGCTTATGGGGAAGCAGAAGAACCAATAAATACCATTCTTGGAAAGGTACTAATTATTAATTATCTTGTGTTTTTTTCTTAAATTTGTTTTGCAATGTACAAACTTAAAACCCTGATATTTTTTCTGTAACTGATTTTTCATTCAGCCACTTGTCTGAAATTTAATAATAATTTAATTTAATTTAATAATTTAATTTATATACCGCCCTTCTCCCGTAGGGTCTCCTGCTTGAGCAAGGGATGGGACTACATGACCTTCCAACTCTGTTACTTTGTTCTGTTAAAGATTGGTTTAAAATGCAGTTGTAAAACTTTTTGGAAGTTGGATTCAGAGAAGAACCATTGTTTAGTTTTGATTTAACTATTAATTGTAGCAGCAGCTATTAAAATAACTGTAGCTGCTCATTTGGGATTTGTTTTTAACTTGCTGTAGATTTGCTGAAAGTATGACCATATTAACTAAAATCTGAATCTCTCCAGATATTTTGAATTATAGTTACTATGATCTTTTGTTATTAGTCATGTTGGTTGAAATTGATGAGCACTGAAGCATGTTGTCTGGAAGGTATAGGTTATGCAAACAAATGAATCATTCTGATATCAGATTCCCTAAAATGCTATAAGTCTGAATTATTTGTGCTATACTATATAGGATATTGTATGTAATTTAAAAATCTTGCAAGGGGGCTTAATATTTATGCAGTTAATAAAAATTTTAAAATGTATATAATATTTTAAATGTAAGGAAAGAGGCTATTGTACATGCTTCTTGGACTATGGATAGCTTCAAGAATTAATGAAAGGAATCAACATCTGTAAACGTCTTTCTGTTCTCAAATGAGCCAGTTGCCATTATGTTAGTGAATTTCTTGGATCATAGCTAGTTAGAGAAGAAATGGCTTCTGCCATATAGGAACCGCTAAAAGAACTATTAACTGATTCTTCACAAAAAGAGTTTCTTTGCTCAGATAGTTAATAATGTCTTTGATCTAAAATCTTTGACTATTATATCCAGTAGTTGGTTCTTTTTGTTTTTTATATTTTCAAGACAGTGTACACTGGAATTGATCATCATTGGAAGAAACCTATATTTGCTACTTGCGGTCATCAAGTTGATATCTGGGATGAGCAGAGAACTAGTCCTATATGTTCTTTGACTTGGGGAGTCGATAGCATAAACAGTGTTAAATTCAATCCAATTGAGGTAATAATTTCATTAGTTTATATATGATGTTAAAATTATTTTCACTAAATAATACTAGCAACATGGATATGGTCATAAACCATATGAAGACATTGGTGTCTGCCACAAGAATTAGAGGTAAACATAAATAAAGCTGAAGGAGAATGTTGGAGCTCAAACATTGATTAGATAAATTAATGTAAATAAAACAGTCCTCAATTGAACAGTTCTTTAAGACTCTTTATAGTGATGCTCATTATTCAGCAAGTGTGGTTTTTATATCTTTTTTTTTTAAAAAAAATGATATTTAAGGAAGGATACTGTTTGGTTTTGCAAGAATAAATCAGATAGCTAAGCTGAATTTTAACTTTTGGGAATCATGGATAGCAAACTTTAGCAGGATCAAATGTTAAGGTGCAAATGGATTTTTAAAATGGTGGGAGAGTAACTTGCTGAACAGCAATAATAATAGTTTGCAGAAAGAAGAGCAATATAATTAAAGTTGAGAAATGAAGAGATCTATATAAGCCTCATGGCAAGTGAATGCTAAGACAATGCAGGGCAGTGCTTAGCAAAAATAATCTTATGCTTGCTTACTCTGTACTCATTCCGTAGTTCCCAGTGTAGGAATGTGTAGGAGCTACAGTGTTGTTCATGAATGATAAAGTCCTGTAACAATCTGCTCCCATTCATGAGAAAGGGGGATAAGTGTGCTGCCACACTGTCCTTTTCATTGCTGTCTACCAGTAAAATGTGAATGTCTGCAACAAGCAAGGGAATGGGTGTAGTCCCAGCTATTAATTTTAGTTTAAGAGCGACGAGGCTTAAAAATAATATGTGTGGATAGCAATAGCAATAGCACTTAGACTTACTGTATATACCACTTCATAGTGCTTTATAGCCCTCTCTGAGCGGTTTACAAATGTCAGCATATCGCCCCCAACAATCTGCGTTCTCATTTTACCAACCTTGGAAGGATGGAAGGCTAAGTCAACCTTGAGCTGGTCAGGATCGAACTGCTGGTAGTTGGCAGAGTTAGCCTGCAATACTGCATTCTAACCACTGCACCACCACAGATAGAGTTTCATTTGTGAATCCTGCATTTTTCTAGAATCCTGTTTTCACTGAAGTACTATTCGGCGAATATAAGAAAGCCTATCCTCTTTACATAAGAACAATTGAAAAATGGGTGAAAGATTGTTATGGCAACATGAGTTTCTTCTTGCTCTTTTTTAAGCAACATATTTTTTTAAAAGATCAGCTGTTTTGCACACACGTCATTGAAAGGTTTACTAATTTAAGGGTATAGATGCTAAATAGGTCATTTACACATTACATCTCTTTTTGATTAATAATTTCAGTTACATTGAAGAAATTAATTTCCTAAATAGTGATATTTAAACAGTCATGCAATTACTGTATAATCAAATTCTAATTCTATCAACTTCCATATTTGGCATACAATTATTAAATAATTATTTTCAGATGAATCTTTTGGGAAGCTGTACTTCAGACAGAAATATTGTGCTGTATGATATGAGACAATCAACTGCCCTAAAGAAGGTAATAGATACACTCTTTAAAATGCTCATTTGCAGGGATGTATATGTGCTGAATACAGTTTCATTTTAATATTTGCATTGATTCTGTGCCTGCTAGCCGTACCATTGTGCCACCCATTTACACACCACTGCACACCCTCCTTGATCTTTGCCTCACTTCCCATGTGTACCCCACGCACCCTAACCAACATCACCATACCTTCCTTGCACTCTCTTTGAGCTTCAGTGCACTGTGTGCAATTCATTGTGCTTTCCTCGCATCCTTGTTCTCTCCCTGAATCTCACCGTATCTCTCTCAGTCCCTTCCCCTCCAGCAGCAGCCAATTGCTGGCCTCCTGCTGGCTTCCACATTTGGAGTTGTGCTTTATAGACCCATCACTCAGAAAT